TTAATTCATCAATACATGAGCATGGGATGTATTTTCATTTTCTAGCACCTCTCTCTCTCTCTCTCTCTCTCTCTCTCTCTCTCTCTCTCTCTCTCAGGAGCTTTAAAGTTTTCACTGTAGCTGTTTCACTTCCTTTGTTAGGTTTATTCTTAGTTATTTTATTTTATTTTATTTTATTTTATTTTATTTTATTTTATTTAAAGCTATTGTTAATGAGAGTATGTCCATAAGTTTCTTCTCTGTATGCTTGTTATTAGAGCACAGAAAGCTATTTATTTGTGCAAGTTCACTTCTGTACTCTGCCACACTGCTGAACTTGTTATCGTTTCTAGAAGTTTTCTGGTAGAATTTTTGGGATTCCTAATGTATTGTCGTATCATGTTACCTTCAAATAAGATTACTTTGTCAACTTATTTACCTATTTGTGTTCCCTTTAATTTCCCTCTCTTGCTCTTGCCTTATTCCTCTACCTAGTACTTAGGGCATAATGAGGGTGTGGCTAAGTGGCTGTCTGTGTCTCATTCCTGACTTTAGTGGGTTTTGTCAAGCTTTTTTTCCATTTAGGATGATTTTGGCTGTGGGTTTCTATACCTTTACTATAAATTCTAGGACCAACGTCTAAGTGCTTGCACATCCCTAGTGGGCTGGTCTTCCTTCTGTCAATCATTAATCAAGAACATGCCCCTACAGACTTGCCTACAGGCCAATCTAATGAAGTCAGTTCCTCAGTGAGGCTCCATCTTTCCAGATGATTCCAACTTGTTTCTGGTTGACAAAAGTACCATTACAGTGGTCATGAGAAGGGGAGACCAGGAAAAGCCTGTGACACCAGGACAGCGTTGACCAGAAAGCCAGAAAGCAGGTTGGGAAGCAGGCCGGGAAACAAGCAGGCCTGAAGTGGAGTGTCCACAGACAGGAAGACCAATAGTGTCTCTCATAGAGCTGCTTTTGAGGAACACACACCCTAGGGGCTATTCTGGGACTACCGCAGCTATGGAAGAGAGCAGTAGCTACAGAAGAGAACAGGAGAACCAAAAAGAGTTTTAAGACCATCGACACCAAACACTATGGCTTCTTAGAGCCAGGATTGGGAGAACAGGAGGTATGGGCTCTTCTGAGACAGGTGAGACCAGAGAAGCAGGAGAGGAGAGGAATCAGATGCCAACAGAGAGTGACCAAATGATCAGGGCCATAGAAGAGGGAGATACAAGAATGGAATTGAGCAGTCAGATGGCGGAGGCCTGGGCTGGTTTAGGGCTTTCGGCCGCGGGTAGCTAGGGCGTCTGGAGAAGGGAAGGGAAATGCGGTAGAGCAGGGCGCGCCTGGGTCCCCGACCCAGCCCCGAGTGAGCCCGAGGTATTTTCCTTATATGATCAGGCCTCACGCGGCCGGCGCTGCTGGTCTGGAGCCTGAGAGGATTATGAAAACGTGGCAGGTGATGGGGCCGGGGGACCTGGCGCGGGCGGGGAGCTGAGGGGTGAGGGGCCGAGGGGGAGGGGAGGCCGGGGGAGGGGAGGGTTGCAGGTTTAGGGGTACCCACGCCGCCTGCTGTGAGCCCTGCCGATGATGACGTGACCACTGCGCAATCTGAGTTCTGGGAACCAGGTGATGGAGTGTGCTGCGAACACTGAGGCCAGGCGAGCAGGGGGGCGGCCTGGGCAGAGACGGGGAACCCGGCGTGGGTGGCGCTGTGGCTGTGTGTTCACGCCTCAGCCACTGCCTGCTCCACAAGCCAGCTTTGTGTAGGTTTCGCCCGCTCCCCTGTAGTGGGGAGTTCCTTTTTAATCTAATCTTTTTTCTGTCTCTCTCCTGTTTTTTTATTTTTTTTGGACAGGGTTTCCTGATGTTCTGGAACTCGCCCTGTAGTCCAGGCTAGCCTCGAACTATGAGATCCGCCTAAATGCTGCTGGCATTAAAGGCACACTCCTCCACGCACGGCTTTAACCTAGTCATTTGTCGTGAAAACTTTCAGGAATACTGAAATGTGGAAAGGTTCGTGCAGGGAACCTACTGTTTGCTATTTTACGTCTACCCATTAAAACCTTATTTTTTTAAAAAAAATGACGTTTTCTTAACGCCGAGAACACTTCAGCACACGTTTATTTACAGTTCCCTTAGGAGTTTTCATGCAGTCGTTTGCGTACAAAGCTCAAGTCGGGCGAACAAATATCTGCTCTTGCCCGTGTTCCTCTATTTCATTTGCCTTCCAAGTCACCACTGAGAGGGACTTCCTGATTTACTGTTGACTATAATTATAAATTACCTGAATAGGCCCTGATAAAATCAGAGTGAGAAGTTCGTATATACTCAAACAGTTATGTGTATATCTGCAGTTTCAGTATCAGAAAAGGAACTGAGGCGTTTGCTTAACCAGATGATCAAACTTGGAATCACCAAGCAGGAGACCATGGACTCCCTTGCTGTGAAGAGGATGTAACTCACTTGTGTAGGATTCCTCCCCCAAATCACCTGAATCTAATCACAGCTCGACAAGTCCAAAATTAACTGGCATGTAGGAGACGGGCTTTTGTTTTGTTTGTAGTTATGCAGGGAAATGTTTAGTTGCAATATCTGCAACTAAAGTCATGCAGGAAAAAAGATGCAAATAAACAGTAGCGAGAAAGAAAACAAACGGCAAAAATGTTACCGAGGAATGAAAACGTGTTATAATCTGTTTGGTTTTCCCATTTCTTCTGGAGGCTTAACACTAAACAAAAGGGAAGGGAAGTTGTCTGCCTTGGTGAGAACCTCAATTGTGAAGCAGATAGTAGCTTGCCTGTGGTTTTACTTACAGCAAATATCTGCTCTTTAGAACATTCAAGTTGTCAAACAAGGATAAAGCAATAAACTATAGACAGGAAGTGGTAGACATTGATTTGAGAGCTTGCTTATTTTAAGTTTACCCTGTCTTGATGGGTTCCAGTGGCTGGGAGGTATTGTCTTAGACTTGAGTTGAAAGCGTTTTTCTTCTCTTGTTTGCAAGTTATTTGCAGATTCCAACAAGCCTTTGTTAACATGTTATGTAGCAATACAGCTTAGAGTAAATCTTGGTACATCGTTGGTTGGAGGTCTTGGTCGGAGGTCACCCTGTAAAGCAATAGTGTTGGTGGAAGAAGACAACATTGTTTTGATGTCTTTCAGTCAGCCAGGTTCTGAAACACACTTGTAGTTAATGTTCGTGATAAGATGGACAGTGCACACAAAGGCATACTTCAGGGAATTGGCTGGTATCTCGGCAAGAAAGTGTTAGGATTTGGTGTTTGGTTAGGGTCCAAAAGAAGCAGGAGCTCCTGTCTTGAGGTGGGGATTAGTAAGTATAAGGGCAACCAGCTTACGTAGTGAGAGCTTGTCTCAAAACAAAATAGGGAAGTAGTCCAAGATCAGTGTACTTAATCAAACTAAGAAAGACTGCCATGATGTCATTGGGCAATACAATTTATGGGAACAGTGTTGTATACAGTCTTTGAGGAAATGTTGTATAATGCCTGTGTAATCTCTAAGATTAGAGCTTGGTTAAAGCCACACTTTGTGAAGAAGCTACAGTCCCTCATAGTAACTGGGACACTTGGCATCTCTTGGTTTCCATTTTCCTATGCTTAGGTGAACTTACGAAGTCATCTTGTTTCATCTCACATCAGTGACTGCTGGTGTTGGCATTTTATAAGATCATGTGTCTATCTGGTACTACTAACCATGTGGGCGTTAGCCAGGTCCCAGATTCGGAGCTGCCTTTCTCAGCCATTGGCTAGTAAGGGTTTCATGTGTAAATACAGCTTGACATGTAAAATGTTATAGGCCTAGCTTCGGGGACCAGGTGAAGGCTTCTGTCATTCTACTGTCAGTTGCCAGAGGAAAGGATTCCATCCTCTGGTTGGAATTTGGATCCAGAAACTTTTCACTAATACATCATGAACATTAGTATTTTTTAAAATGCAGAGCTGGAGACCAAACCAGAGTCTGGTACATGCTGTGCATGCCTTATTCGGAGCCACACCTTCGTCTACTGTGAGCATTTCATTTCGATAGCAGTTCCTAGTGATGTGTGTCCGAGAGCATCATCCATCCATGGAGATGCCTTGTTTTGTAAGTGTGGGAAAGGCTGGGGATGTGATCTTTACCAATTCCCAGGTGACTTTGGTGCTTTTTCCTAGGGAGAAAGTAGGTGTTCCATGTTTCTGGGCAAATGTTTAGTTACTGGTCTATTTTACTCCATTGATCCGTTTTTCTGGCTCGGTGCTAATCTCACATACTAACTTGCCAGGGAAAGACTTCCAATCATCTCAAGGAGCTTTTGCTATTCCATAGAGATTTTAGAATGTGCTTGTCAAGTTTCACATTAAAAAAGACATTGAGATCTTGATCTTTATAGGATGCAGATGATATGTTGGTGTCCTTTTATCAGTGAAAATGGTTTATTTCTGAGATCTCAAAATTTTTGTTATGAACTTAATGTCATCTCTACCATAAACCTACAAGTTGTTTGGTTTGTCTCTGGGCTCTATTCTGTTTTATCAGTCTACTTGTCTTTCCTAATACCCAGGCTGCCTTGAATTCTATAGCTCTAGAGTAATTGCTCAATAAATCTTATTACCTTCTAGACCAGTGTTTCTCAGCCTTCCTGATTCTGTCACCCTTCAATACAGTTCATGCTGTGGTGACCCTCCAACCATAAAATTATTTTTGTTGCTACTTCATAACTATAATTTTGCTACCGTTATGAATTGTAAATTTTCCCAATGGTCTTAGGTGACCCCTGTGAAAGGGGTCCTCCAATGGACCTCCAATGGGATCGTGACCCATAAGTTGAGAACTGCTGTTCAAGAGCAAGCCCTCTCCCATCTCCAACTTACAGGTGGCTGTGTACTGACCCCTAGCTTAAACAGCCATGCATAACTGAATCTTTGCTCCAGAATAAAGTTTCTCAAGGAAACATTAAAAATAGGGGCCAGGGAGGTGGCTCTGGATAAGAGCATTTGCTGTGTGAGTCGGAGGCCCTGAGTTCAAATCCACATCACACACCAAAAAGCTGGATGTCCAGGCATATTTGTAACCCCAGTATCGGGGAGGCAGAGATGAGTGGATATTGACAGCTTGCTCTCTAGCCCTGATAGTGATCTTCCAGCCCAATGAGAGACCTTGTCTCAGTGGAGTAAGGTAGAGGGTGATAGAGGAAGACATTGAGCATCCTCCCCTGGCCCCTCACATGGACTGGCATGGGCCAGGTGTGGACACACACACATGCACACGTACATGCACACAGATACACACACACACACACACACCTTGAGGAAGCTAGAGAGATGGAGGCTAGAGAGATGGCTTGAATTAAAAGCACTTGCTCAAAACTTGTGAGGACCAGATTTCAGTTTCCAGTGCCCATGTAACAAGCCTGGTGACCCAGCAAACCCAAGCTAAAAGAGTTACTGGGCCTTGTGGTCTTCCAGCCTACCAGGAAACAGAGCCCCAGGTTCAGGGATGAGACTGTCTGGAAGAAATAGGTAGAATGATTGAGAATACAAGCACACACCCCCCACATGTGTGTGCACACACTTATACAGGTACATATGCATCTACACATGGATACAAATCTTTAAAAAAATAAAAACTAGACTTTAGCCAGTACTACTTTTAGTCAAGCTGTCGTTTTAGATTTTGTTCAGATTTGGCACATCACTTTATTCAAAAGTATTTATTTCCACAAATTTTTATCCACAGCTGTATAATTACATAAGCACTTTTCTATAACAAAGCTGTAGTTTACAGACTTGTCCAAAGTGAAAAAATATTTTTCAGTAGTTATTTCTTCCGCAACATTAGATTTACCCCTGAATATTTTGTGAACTCTTAGAGAGGCAGGCCTTTATCTAAATGCCAGTTGATTGCAAATGTTATATCCAAATCTGGCTGCTTCTTAACAGTATGATTTCAGACAGTAGCCTAATTCCATCTGGTTGATTCCCTTTGTCGGACTGTATTTTGTTATAGTGTGTGTGAGTGCAGGCACGTGTCATGGCTCATGTGAGTCAAAAGACCTTTCAGTGTGGGCTCTGGGGACTGAAGGAACACAGGTCACCAGGCTTGCATGGCGAACACTCTTACCCACTGAGCCATCTGGCTGTCCCAAACCTTACTTTAGAAAAGGCAACTTTTAGTATCCAATGATGCTCATTAGAAAAAAGCAACCTTGTCTGTCATTGGCATTATCCTCTAATTTCCTATACTCCATAATTCTCTGATTATGTATAAAAGAGGAAAATTTGGTTATTTGACTCATATACCAAATTAACTTTATAAATCAACTGCAAATGTTATAAGAAGAAATGAAAGACCCCGGGCTAGCATATTTGGCAACCACTTACTCATAGTGATCAAATGTTTGGGAAGTATTTAGTTTGTGCAAAAGAATTGGATTCCAGTTTGTTGCCATAATCCTCAATTCATTTATTAGGGCTCTAATAGTTAAATTAGTGGTAGATTTTAGGGACCTACATTCTCAAAACTCTTAGTTTTCACAAGAGCCTTAACATTTTATCCTAAGGAAAATCAGGGGAAGCAACTCCTATGACATGTTTTCTGGAAAGGGGGAAAAGTGTATCATGGGGATGATTGGCCAGGTGAGCCTTCAGGTGCTGCCCCTCTAACTGCAGCTGCGATGGCCTGGGAGGATGTGCGTAGATATCATCCTTGTGTGCCTCAGTGACAACTAATTTAGGTAGGAATATACCCATTACTATAGGGACGTGGATAGTGCCCGTGTGGTAATGCTTAACACACACATGGTAGGCGTATGAATTTGGTTAGTTTTTAAGGTGCTTGCTTCATGAGATGAATCAGAAGTCCACAGGATGCTACCAACACTGAACATTATGTTCTTCCCATGGCAACTCCTTCAAGGAATAAGTGGTGAGTCGATTATTTCAGCAACTGCTAAAGGCACATGATGGAACTGGAATTACTCAGGAGCAAAAATACCTGGAGAAGAGCTCAAACGTGTGCTGCATTTATTTAAATTAAAAGAGATTATTGATTTCATCAAGTTGGGAAGTGTTTAAAATTAGCTTTAAAATGGGAAGGGAACCCATTGCTGAGGGAGGCTCAGGGATGGAGTGCTCTGGGTTCAATTCCCAGTACTAGGGGAAAAGTACACAGAACAAAAACGTTTTTTTGTTTTGTTTTGTTTTGTTTTGTTTTTTTTTAAAGAGTTTCTCACAAGGTACCTTTTCATCCTCCGGGTTTGCAATGATATAGGGAAGGTGTAAACGCTCACCAACCACTGTATTGTTAAGTACAACTCTGGTGGAAACCCTTGTCTTCTGAGAGAACAGCAGCTGTTGGTTCTTAGGCTGTAGAGAGCGTTAGTTCTCCCCTCCATCTGTTGGTCTAATTACTAAGCTTTTATTTAGTGAACCTTTGTACCTCCCTGACCAACCAGGGACAGGAGAGTCATAACCCGTGGGGGGCGGGGCAGAGATGACGGTTTAAACTATGAATGCTTAACAAGGCATTTTTGGTGTTCTTGGGGGTTAAAGGACAGTCAATTTTGAACACTACAGTGTACTAAAAAAGCAAATTACATTCCTAAAGACCTTTAAAGAGGTAGCCACGGATCCAGTTGTTTTAAAAAACTGGCTTTCGAAACAGTTTGCATTTCGGGATTGAAAGGTCTGATACAGATGTCAGGGGCTGTGACTGGGGGGTGAGCTGTTCTTGGTGACAGACACCTAAGAGCCTGATGTCAGGGGCTGTAACGGGGTGGGGGAGGGACTGCTCTTGGAGACAGACACCCAAGAGCCGCTGGGGTGTTTACTGTGGACACAGAAGGATGATGCAGATGACAGAGCATTTGTTGTCAAATTGAGTCTCAAGCCAGGCGCCATTTTCTTGTTCTGGCCCCAGCAGACAAGGAGGTCTGGGGCCACAGACCTGTAAGAGCACACACAGGGCTTTAGAGTTTGGAGTGTGCCGTATTCCTAAGAGCCTAAGCTGGGTGATACCCAGGGAGTATCTAAAGTATAGGGGATCTCACTGTGACAACGAGGCTCCTGTATGATTTGCAAACAACCTGTAACTGTCATAAGGACAGTGCATACTTTTTTAATAAATATTGATTATAAAAATGGGAAGAATGAATATGTTAGTTGTCCAACCAAACCTTTGTTCCTGAGTCCAAAAAAGTCCCCCAATGCAAAACAAAATTCTAAGAGCAGCAAATACGTAAGTCTGTTCCATTATTACTAAATATTCTTTGAAATCTTTGTTTCATAGTAGAGTATTTACATTGATTTTAAAGTTTGGAGAAAATGTTGAAAATAACTTGAGAAGGGAAAGTTGGCCCTAAGCTATTATAGGCTTTCAGAGCAGTTAAAACAAACCAACCAACCCATAAGTCATTGGATAATAAGTTAGTGATCATGCGTTCTCCTTCAAAGGATCTTCAGACAATTGGGTTCTGGAACTGAAGTCTGTTTCCCTTATGGTCTTGGGGTCTGGAATTCCCAGCACACTGTGAGGACCTTTCCAAAGGTTTAGCAACATTAGGGAAGTTAAAAGCTCTGGTTTGTATACCTTTAAATAAAAGTTATCCATTCTCATCTACTATTTTTCATAGTTATATTGTGGAAGCTTTGCTGGTCCCAAGGTATGGACTAGCACAGGAGACTATTTTTCCACCTTTCTCACACTTGGTACTTGTGACGGCAGTATGTTTGGCTTAATTCTCCCATAAACCTGAGACTGTTGCAAGAACTCACACATATCAGGGTCTGGGTCATCCAGTTTTCTTAGAAACAATATACAACACGTGTAGTCTGGAGATCAATTGTATCACTGTCTCTTATTCACCAGCGTTAGTGAATGCTTTGGGGAAGCTCCTGTGAAGGCCCAAGGCCCATACTTTTGTTCTTAAAACATCTCCCTACAAGCTCATCCAGCCCTTTGGTTTATCAATATATGTCATTGTTATGGTATGAGTGTCATTTGTTGAAAGACCCACAAAGGCAATTTATGTCACTATTTTTAATATTATCTTAATTTGGACATTCTGCAGTTATATACAAAGACCAAAGTAGGCACTTCCACCCTGTAGAACTGGCATTATACGGTAACTGGAGCTACGCACTGGCTATTCATTATGATGTGTCTTTGTTTAAACCGAAGTCAAACCTTTAACAATCTTCCACATTTCAAGTATTTTTATTCTGAACAGTATATACAAAAACTAATGACGATGTGCGTCACTTTGTTTCGTTCAGTAGTCTCCACGGGTTCTCTAACTCTGGTTTGATCTACTTCGGGCATAGTTAACAAACCCAGAATTCCCTCAGCTGACTGTACGTGCTTCCTGGTTTGCCTTGGAATCACGCGTCCTCAGACTTCATTGAGAAACTCCAGATTGAGGCATGCCGGGATGTGGATTGAGTCCATGGTCAGAGAAGACGGATTAAAAGGAAACAGAACAGGAAACATGTGTTTGGAGTCCAGCAGTAGCTGCTGGGGGTCATTCCTCTCTTGTAGCTGAGCCTGGGGAGGGAGAGTAAGATCGGGTAAGCATTTATTACAACCTAAAAAGTTGAAGTAACTTTACCATAGTGAGCAGGTGTATGGAATGGACAGATTCCTAAGATGACTCGGAAGGCTTGCAGGATCAGGAGAAAATGGTCTTCCTGTGTCCCTGAAGCATGCAGTGGAGACAAGCCCTAGTTTAGGTTGGTGGAGGTCAGATGGTTAAGCACTTGCCCGTTCTAGCATTATCTTAATGGTTCCAGCTAAGGGAGAAGGGGAAGCTGTGGCTTCTGTGCAAATCCCATGGGAAGACTGTCGTGGAGTGATTCATGGACCAGGTTCTACAGCCGTGGTTCTCAGCCTTCCCAATGCTGCAACCCTTTAATACAGTTCCTCATGTTGGGGTGACGCCCAACCAGAAAAGTATTTCATTGCTACTCCGTAACTATAATTTTGCTACTGTTATGAATCATAATATAAATATCTGTTTTCCAATGGTCTTAGGCCACCCCTGTGAAATGGTCATTTGACCCCCAAAGGGGTTGGGACCTACAGGTTGAGAACCACTGCTCTAGAGGCAGACTCCCTGCCCTGAACAAATGTCCAAACCTTCCTATGTCTTAATTTAGTCATCTGCAGAATGGAACATCATGGAAATTGCCAAGGCAGGCAGTCTAGGAAACAGCCCCTTCTCCATTGAAGCAACTACTGAGTTTGAAAGAGTGATTCTTGTTAATTATTCCAAAAGTCTGGGACCTGCTTAGAGACTCATTTATAACCATGCTTTGATGAAGAGCAAGGCTGGTGTCTGTGAGAACGTGGCTGATCCTGCTTGTGTGCCCCACTCTTTAGCCTCAAGTATGGCTGTGGTGATAGAAGCCCACATTCTTAGAGTAGCTGGGTGGTGCCAGGGAAAGCAGTGGGGTTTTGACCTCTCAAAGTCTGAGATTGTGTGTGCACTTTGGTTCGTCTGGTGGGATCCAGCATGGATGCTTGTCTTAGATAGGGTTTTTCTCAGGGTACAGTGGTTTGTCTTAGTGGCTTCAATTGGAATATTTAAAAGGATAAATCCTCTTCCCTTCTCCTCTCTGAAGCTATGTGTTTTAAGAAAAGTACAATAACCAAAATGAAATTCACTAGAGGATTCCACAGCAAACCTGGGCAGGTCAAAGGGAGATTCAGCGAGCTAGAAGACAATAGTGTTGAAGTGACCAAGTCTAAGAAGGGAAAGGAATGAATAAGAATGCTAGATCCAGGTATGGTGCTGCACACCCTGTAACCCCAGCATGAGGGAAGTGGAAGCAAGAGGACCAGGGTTCAAAGTCATTCTCAGCTACATAGCAAGTTCGAGGTCAACCTGGACTAGTAAGACCCTGACCGAAAACAGAGTTTGAGGGTCCAGGAAGCAAAGTATCAACGTACGTACGTACTGTAGAAGTCCGAAAAAGAAATGAGGGAAAGGGGCAGAAAAACATTTAAATAAAAACTAAACCCATCCCAAATCCAGTGGGCAGTATGTATGAGTACATCCAAGCTCAGTCAGCTTTAAGCAGTGAGCTTTAAACACACTGAGATATGCAGGTTGTGAAAACCCAAAGACAAGGAATCTTAGAACAATAGAGAAATGCGTTTGTCATAAAGTATCCTGAAATGGGATTACCAGTTGATTTTTCATCAGATGCCATGGACATTAGGAAGTAATAGGAAGACACACCCCAAGGGGGGTGCATGAGAATTTTACATCTGACAAAATTTCCTTCAAGGGCAAAGGAAAATTTTAGTCATTTCTGGAAACAAAGACATTGGATAAAAGTTTCAATTCGTCATGAACAATTATAGATGAAGCACAATTAGAAACAGAGCGTACAGAATGTTTGGTGCCCTGACTGACAGAGCTGGAGGGAGAACTAGTTCTCCATCAATAGCGGGGCCCTTCAGTCTCCCACTTCTGATGACATATAGCACTGTTAGGTGAGGTCCGTAAGCAGGCGTGCTGGACTCTTTAGGATGGAAGTTAGGTCCCTGGGGCAAGCCTCTGAAGAGGTACAGGGACTCTGGACCTTGCCATCTCTGCTCCCAAGCTGCTGTGCAGTGAACAGCAGGTATCCCTGCCTAAGGCTCGCTTCATTATGTACTGTGTGTTTACAGACCCTGAGAGCAAGGCTGAGTCACCATGGACTGGAATATCTGAACGTGAACCCAGACGAGCCTTTTCCCTTGAACGTTGATTACCTCAAGTACGGTGCCACGGTGACAGAAAGCTCACTGACATGCATACAGATTTCCCCTTGGGGAAGATGATGCAGACGGTGCTCTTAAAAGGCTGTGAGGACCAAGACTCCGACCACTCAGTACACTGAGTCGGGTTGCTGGCACCTGGCAAGTGCTGTGTTTGTCACGGGTAGGCCAGCTTTGTTTGTCCTCGGAACTAACGGTCAGCGCTTGAACTATGGACTCCAGGCTGGAGCTGCACTTTGGCAGGAGTATTGCCAGGTGGATGATCCACAAATCCTCATTAGGAAAATACAGGTCATGCCACTACCAGCTTGAGGCACAAAAACATTGTCATTGTTTTGTTTTTCCCCCTTGGGGACAAGCCACTGTTGTTTCAAATAGTGACAGTATCTTGATATGGTTTCCTTGTTACCCAACTTGAGAGGTGGAAGACCAAGGGCTAATTGCTCAGCTCTAGCACCCACGGCATCTTTACTGTTTCTCTTAAGCCTTGAAACAGGCTGAGGTCTTCAAGGACCAGCAGCCCTTTGGAACACTGAGGAGGGCGAGCCGTTGGAGTACAAGCCTGCGGAGGGGGCTGTTGAACCTCAAATTGCTCACATTTTGTTACCTGAATGATGACAGAAAGTGCTGCTTAAGCCTCCATATGCTAGCCACAAGATTCTCATGGACTAGCATCCGAAGAGCGGGGCCATAACTTCAAAACTTGTGGTACATGGTCCCTCAGAAAACCCCCACGAACTTGGTGGTGGCATTGACAGCTCTCAAGCTTACAGCATCCAGGTTTGAATGGTTAAGTGTTTGCATGGCTATGTGGAAGTCATACATGTTTATGAGCTCCTGCGTAATGCTTCAGTAATTCAGGTGAGTGTTTTTAAACATGTACACGGTATGTAGTATGCAGGCAATGGTATGCCCAGCAAGCAGCTTTGACTGCTGGACAGGAGGTCAAGTGTGGTGGGAGTGGGGATGGGGTTGGGGGTGTGGTGAGGGAGCTGGCTGCTCACTGGTGCTTCTCAGCACTGCGTAGGGAGAAATAAACTAGAGCTGGCCAAAAACCAAACCCAAACCAAACCCTTTGGACAGGACTGCCATACTTTCTGACAGTATCTGCCCTTGGCCTCCAGGGTGTTATCTCTACGTCCTTCATCCGTTAGGCCTGTGGCCTGCTTGGCATATGTCAGTCTACTTTGGACTGAACTCCCTTCTTGCAAACGGCGACATTGCCAGTTTATGGTGTGTTATGATCCTCCCTCCCGTGTGGCTCAGATTCAAATCCAAGACTGACTTCCTAGACTTGTGCTTTTGCTTGAGTTGCTTTTCAGCCCTCCACAAGAATCAGTAGTGGGTCATCGGGGTACCCCGTGGCTTCTCTCCTGTCCCCCATCCCTCCTCTGCATTCAGGAGCTGGCTCTATGCTCATCCTGTGCTGGCCTCCCACTCAGCGCCCTCCCTCTCCCACTTTAATGCATCCCTTGTGTGGGTGAGCCGGCCTGCTCTGAGGGCTGCATGCTTGGCAGGCCCTGGCATTTCCCCGTTGTCCTTGAGGCAACAGCTACCTTTAGTCTGACTTGGCGTCTGTCCCTTGACCTCTGGCTTCATCTCTACTCAAATACCAGGCTAAAGTTCATTTACTCTTCCCCATGGTCTCTTCAGAGTCAAGGCACTCTTTCTAAATCTCTAGATCTCTTTTAAGACTTGGAATAAAATCCCCAGCCTTGCAAAGGACAGCAGCATTCTATAACAAAGCTCTTGTTTTCTCGGGCCTCTCTAACACTCCTACGTCTGTCCAGTGTATTCCTCACATATAACTGGAAGAGATGAGTCTTCTTGTGGAACCGCAGTCAGCTCCTGTCAGTCCCTTCTGTCACACAAGAAGGCCCTCCACCGGACCCAAATCTCCCTGGGCTCAGCTTGAGAAAGCTCATGTTTAAGTTATAAACTCACCTCTCAAGATGGATCTATATATACATCTGCCTAAGAAGTTTCTTCTTATCAGATCCCCAAAGACCAATAGTGTATCAGAGACAAGGTGTGAGAGTTTGGATTGAATTGTTAGAGAAAATATTTCCTAGTTCCACAGGGGTGGAACTGATATTAAGCCACCTTGTTAATTCTGCCTGGTGTCTTGATTCAGAAAGGTGCTCCCAGCCAATGAAACGCTTGAGTTGAAAAGCTGAGTGGCAAAGGTAAGTCCATCTGTCTGCGTGCACTCGTGGATGCTAAGGTTCTGTGCATTTAAGCAGGAAGCCTACGAATGCAGATTTTTCTAGCACACAGTGTAGCCGGCGTTAGTAAAGAGAAGGTTAAAATCTGCATTTTCAGCGTCCCTTTTGGCTTCTGACTAGGGACTTTATGAAATGAACCAAGACTCACCTGGATTGTTCGTATAAAGGACACTGTCACTCGTTCCTCAAATTCATTCAAGGGGGTGTAAAGGTTTAAAATCTTGACGATCTGTTGGAATGAAAACACGGTTAGCGCAGTACTAGACAAACTAAAAACCACTTTGAATTTTAGGACTCTGTGACAGTGGCGCCATACAAATGTCCAACTCTCAGGACAGATCCCACTAGGTGTGTGCTCAGGCTGCTGTCTACGGCGAGTTTCCACCCCATGGCTGCCCTTGCGGGGTTTGAGGTCCTGTACTGCAGTCATGTCCTCAATGCCCACCCTTCCCCTAGGCTTGGTGGCTTATGCATAGTGAGTTCAGAAAACTGCTGTCCGGACCCCCCAGCCTCTGTTCTGCTGGCAACTCAAAGGTTCTTCAGAAGAGCACCAGGGCTCACGTAACCATGCTTAACCATGCTTACACCTCTTCCTTAAGAAAATTCACTTATGCCAGGCGGTGGTGGCACACACCATTAATCCCAGCATTTGGGAAGCAGAGGCAGGAGGTTCTGTGAGTTCGAGGCTAGCCTGTTTTACAGAGTCAGTTCCAGGACAGCTGAGGATACAGAGAAACCTTGTGCCAGAAAAAACAAAAAGAAAAAGGAAAATTCATTTACAAGTGAGATTTTCTTCTTAACCAGACAGCCTTTTGTCCACCTATCAGTGGTAGAAGTACCCCGGCCTCCTGCCAGGCCAACTACAAGCAGGAAGTAAACTTACAGAAAGAAAACAGTTACTGGGACCAGGAAACCCAAGCCCTTGCTTGCAGTTTTCTAAAGAGTTCTCTGGTTCATTTCAGGAGACAGCGGAGAAGGTACAAAAAGCATGCACCCTTCTGTGTATTGGGTTTAGAGTTGGCTACAATGGTGTTGGTTGGGAAGAGCATGCATTTGATTGGAAGAGACTGGTTTCTCTTCTGTCCATGGTCCAATTCTAAGTAGCCATGATCAAAAGCAAGATCTGGTGACCCATCTCTTTATAGACTAGTCATATGTCTACAGCCAAATTAAGGTATAAATACAATTCTGGGGGAGAGGAATTTAAATTAATATTTAAGTGCCTTTAGATCATTAAGGCTTCATCTAAAATGATATAAATGGTGTCCTAAACTATGAAAATTGCAGTTGTAAAGGAAGTATGTAAAGAAAGCAAACAGCCTCATACTGACAGATGCAGAAAAGGAAATCTCTTTGGTAAGAAATTGTTTTTAAAACATTGTGACATGAGGCCAGCAAGCTGGCTCAGTGGGTGAAGGCCCTCGCCACCAAGTCTGATGACCTGAATTCAATTCCCAGAACCCGCATGATGGAAGAGAGAACAACTCCTTCCAGTCACTCCCTGAGCTCCATACATGCACATCATAGAGCATGTGCACAGGCAATTTCACAAAGTTGTTATCGAGGTTCGTGGGTTTACCACCGTGTAAGTTAGCACAGAGGGAGGATCAGTAAGTTTCGGGGAAATGGCATCGGGTCAGACCAAAGTGATCTCTGCTTCATCAAGACCATTTCATCAGTTGCAAATTCGAGTTGTGTCAACAAGGCCAGGAGCACCGCATCAGAAAACTCCTTGAGAGAACAGACTGGCAGGGCCAGCACTGGTCTCGAAAGGCTGTACCTGCTGGGTGCTGAGGGAGGTGCACAGAGAGCAGATGGCCTCTGCATCCTCATGGGTTTTCTTCTTCAATTGGAGGAGCTGGGCTGCCTGGATCAAAGGTTCCATGGTCTGAACTGCTCCACTCTGGTGAAGGTTTTTTCCTCGAAGCCACTCTTCAAGTTGGCTTATGTTGTACCTTAGTCATGGGTAAAAAGGGAGCCGTGTTAGCCTTTATTCATGGGGGAGGCATAACTAGTGTTATCCTTGCCCCCACTTTAATTATCTTATGTGGTTAAAAGCTTGCAAAGTGTGGGAAAGGAGATAGCTCAGTTTGTAAAATGTTTGCCTTGCAAGCATGAAGACCTGAGTTTGAGCCCAGACCCATATTTACACACACACACACACACACACACACACACACACACACACACACACACCAAGCAACAACAAAACAAATGAACGAGGTGGCACACAGTTGTCATCCTGGTGCTGGAGAGGTGGAGATAGATCTCATTGGCCAGCCAGCCTAGACAACTGACAAATTCCAGTTTAGTGAGATTTTTTTTCCTTAGGTGGGTATTTGAGTTGTCCTCTAGTCTCCATGTGTTCATGTACACACGTATTCTCCACTCCTATATGCACACACACGTTAAAAAAAAAAAACCAACAAACTCTGCAAAGTGCCTAGCAGTCAATAACCGTAAGTTGAGTAAAGAATGAATAGATGAATTCAAGCTTAAAATTAAGCAAAGATGAAATACCTAATGAGTCTCTCTATATAGTAACAGGGAGGGAAGCATAAATATACTAAACATTTATACTTGAGAGCCCTGATAACTCATCACTCATCCATCTTTCTCTCTCACCTAGCCACACTCATCAGTCTTTAAAGAGCATTTGAGCGTCTCTAAGCCAGTGTGAGCATCTTTGTACTAGTTTGTTTAACCAGGTCACTGTCTCAGCAGGGTGAACTTCACCAATCAATAAATGGGTGATGGATTTGAGCCACACACTGACTATGACAAGGGCCACCACCTTGGAGACAACTGTCCTGCGTTCTGTCCCCACCCTGTGTTGGGCCTCTCAGTCTCCACGGGTGGGCTGGCTGGCGTGAGCACCTCTCACGTGAGCACCTCTCTCACCTGAGCTGCATGCCTGTGCTCCAGGAGCAGGCATCTTTCCGCAGGAGCAGGTTGTTAAGGGTCACGGCGTTGATCATGTAGAAGAGCTGTTTGAACACCTGAAGGATGATCTCAGGGTCCAGGCCCTGGTCACACATGACTGTATGAAACGAATTCATCTGGCGGATGATAGCCTCCAGGCAGTAGGAATTCTCTCCATCCACCATGCTGGAGGTGCGCTTCCGGTAACCCGTTGGCCGCACGCCAGACAGCCCCTGGATACTCTCATTTTCCAACATGGCCGAAACTGAAAGGAAGGCGTGGTTAGAGCAAGTCTGCTGTAGGAGCCCTCAGCTCAATGAGCCCATTCAGATGTGCACAGTGTCAACATATGCGGGGACTTAACACATGTGGCAAAGAATTTTGAGTGTGGGGGCTCTCCATCTGACATAAAATAATCATGGAGCAAACTGTCACTTAAATTCATTGGTGATTGGACAAAGCTAATGGCTATGTGCTAGCTGGATTCTGTACTACGTCATGCCTATCTCAGGATGGGCTTGGCTTTGTGGAAGCCACAGTTGGTAACATCTGGTTGCTGCAAGGTAAGGCAAGCTTGCCCCCCCCACCCCCCGCCGCCCTCATCCTCCTCCAGACCCCAAGATGTGTGCTGGAGGTCCCTCAGCAGCACCTTACCGATCATAGGTTGTAACAGGCCCTCTGCGATTTTAATGAGCTGCTGATAGATCTGAATGGAAAGGTCGCTTAGCACCTGCCGATATTCAGTGAGGTCAAAGTTCTTGAGACAGTGCTCATTCTGCTTTGGAGTGTTCTGCGTCATGAAGCCCTGCAGAGGAAGAATGGACAGTAATAAGCTTCTGGGGGCTCCTGGGTTCCGTACACCTTCTGGGACTTGGGCCACCTTAACAACTGCCTATTTGCAGGGCTTCCCTATGTGTAATGCTCTAGAAAACATGAGGCCTTTGGGATGGCCCTGGACGTTCAAGGTAGTGGACGCTTCATGACAGACAAGTCAGAACTGTATAAATAAAAAGGCCTATATCATTTAAACCCTCAAAATAAAGTGAGTTCCATATATTGAATACCCAAAGCCAGAAAAATAAATTAATAAAGGAGGGTCCCATGCTTTCTGAATGTTTATCTGGCTACACAAGGCCCTACAGGAATATGGCACAGGCCAGGCTCTGTGTGTAGGAGACTCCTAGGAACTCTAGCTCACCAGTCACCAGATGAGTGGGTGGTGACAGCAGTGTCCTCTTGCTCTGCTGTGGTAGGATGGACAGGTAATCTGGGATAAGTGCTAATATCCAAAGGGCTCCTGTGACCTCGGTCCTCTTACTGTTATCTTTTTTTGTTTTGAGACGGTCTTGTTATATCGTCCAGGCTGTCTTTAAACTTGTGGTGTTCTTACCACAGCCTCCCAGTTGCTGGGATTGAAGGCACATGCTGCAGAGCCTAGCTCCAATGTCCTTTTTATTCAGGCTAAGAGGGATCAACAGCAGCCAAAAAGATCAGGGCTGTCAGAGAGTCAGCCACGACCCCCAACCTCTTGCCCTCACCTCAAATGATGAAGTGACTTCTTCCTCCCCTCTCCCAGAGCTGAGGACCAAACCCAGGGCCTTGCGCTTGCTAGGTAAGCACTCTACCACTGAGCTAAATCCCCAACCCCAACAAAGCGACTTCTAACAACAGGAGCGACTGTGGGTGGCTACTGAGAGTCGGGACCTTTCATTCTTGTTTTTTAGCCACACAGAGCTAGTTACACTGCGGTTCAAATCTTGTCTCCAAGAGCAGACGTGCATAGGGAGTCCGAAGCACCCCAAAATGCACGTAGATAAAGTGGGGTCCACTTTGGGGCACTTTGCTCACCACTCACCTCATCCCCACTGTACTGCTTCAGACAGTGGAGGAAGCGGCAGGTGTTGGACAACCAGAATGACGTCATCTCAAAGTCGTCATTGTGCTTCTGTGAAGAGAAAAGCACACCAGTGGCCCTGAGTCAAGTGTCTCCCGTTGGCTGACATATATCCCCGGTGCCTCTCTTTCCATGTTTCCTGTGTTGCCCAGCATGCCTGGGTAGCCCCGATGTATGCAGTCCACTTCCCAGGCACAGAGAGGATTCCCTTTGCAGAGATTTGCTGTTCCGCCACTCCCTGAGATGGTACCCAGACAGAACCATTCCCTGGTCTCCTGACGAGGGGTGCATGCACATGGGAAGAACAGGCCGTCCCCCAGAGCAGAAGAATGTGGAGCTGAGTGGCACAAATGAAGCTTAGGCCCAGCAGCCCCGGGCTCTAGTCTAGTCTAAACCTTGCTCTGGCCAACTTGGATTCTGACCTACCAGCTGCCCAACACAAGGCGTGCTAGGAAGCACAGCACTGAAGTACACTAGTGTCCCACTGACCTAGAAGTCGGATGCTCAGTGGCAATAAACTGAGCAAGGCTGCTTAGCAACCCATATACAACTCGATCTGTCCAGGTTCTGCATTACACCCACGGACTTCTCAGAGCCCATCCTGTAACACACCACTGTTATTTAAGTGCAAGGACTATGAGCTACAACAACAGAACAAGGCTGACCACACAAGCTATGGGCTAGAGGGGGCTAATCTAGCTCAGAGCTGTAGAAGGTCTCTCTAAGGAAGTGATGTTTGCAGTCCTCGGCTGCCTTAGACTCCTGCTGGAGCTTATAAAAGAGGTCAAGGCTAGAGACACAGATTTGAGAGTGACCAGCCTAGGCATGCATGATACACTTCAGGGCAATTAGTAGATTAACACTACCTGAACCCAGAGCCAGAGAAGGCAAGGCAGCTGCCAAGGGCATGCAGCCAGAAGCTGAGGGCTAGCTTGCTCTCAAATCATGATCACAGGTTCACTAGACCGGAAAAGGTGCTGGCCATGGTGCTCTTGAGGATGGCTGGCCTCCTTGGAATTAGCAGTGTTGGGGAAATCAGAAGACAGTCTATGATATAGGACTGTCACTGAGACGTCTGTATCTAAAATCTCCCTCCTGCCACCTGACCCCAGCTCCTTTGAGAACACGCCTCACCACTAAACAGCTGCCACATTCGTCTGGTGTCTCAAGGTGACATTCTTGAGCTGTTAACACCCCACTCTCACCCTCCAGAGCAGTCCTGTTCTGGTCCAGGCTACCTCACCTAGTAAAATGATGAATGGCAGCTGCTGTCTCTCTGCAACCAACCTTGATGGTGTGTCCCAGTCCCTTGGAAAGGTGAGAGAGAGTATGGCTTCCTGAACGTGGTTCAGAGACCATCCACCTCCCTAACATCTGTGCTAGCGGGCAGCCAGGTTTTCCTGTACAGACAGGTTCAGCAGCTGTGGGAGGCCCACACTGGAGTCCTGGGCCTCCTGGCAGCTGCAGTCTTGAGCCTGCTCTGAGAACTGCTAGGCATCCCAGGTAATGTAACTGGTTCACTGGCTGAACACAGACCCAGAGAAGTGACGGAGGCGCTCGCTTTGCTCGGGCCACCGGGAACCTCAGCTGTCTGCACAGGCTCGTTACCTACCTTGAGGACTTTCTTAATGCCGTTGATGGTGGAACTCAGCAGCGAGTGTACCTTGAGGTCGTCGTTGGTGTAATCTGCATGCCTGATGCACATGTAGAGGATGTATGCAGGCAGGCAGGGCACGGTACCGGACAGCATCTGGGGCTTCAGGTCTAACAGCAACAACAGGGGAGTTAGATCTAACTGGGCTAACACCCTGCATGTCAGAACCCTTGCCTCAAAGAGAAGTACTTGCATTATTTCCCTGTAACTCACCCAGGAATCCACTGCTCACAGGCACTGGAAGAGGAATAAGACAGACTGTGGTAGTCTGAGACTATTATAGACTCATTTATCTGAACACCTAGTCCTCAGCTGCTGGTGCTGTTCGGGGGGGGGGGGGGCATTATGGAACCTTTAGAAGATTGAACCTTGCTGGAGGAAGTGCATCCTTGAGGGTTTATAGCCTTGCCCTACTTCCTGCTTGCTCTCTCTGCTTCCTGCGTGCAGATGAAATGTGATCAGCCAGCTTCCTGTTGGGGTGCTGGTTGCTATGTCTTCCCTTGTCTTTATGGCCTCTATCGTTCCAGAACTGTAAGCCAAACAAACTCTTTTCTGAGTTGCTCTGGGTCACAGCAACAAGATAACTAACATACACACCCATCCAGTTGGAGACACTGGTAAAAAAAAACAAAAAACAGAAGTATGGCCTGGCCGGATGTACTGGCTCACGCCTTTAATTCCAGCACTCAGGAGGCTGAGGCAGGGGGAGCCCTTGAATCTGAGTCAGCCTGGTCTACATAGAGAGTTTCAGGTCAATCAGGGCTACAAAGAGAAAGCTTGTCACAAAGCAGAAGAACATATTACATTCCTAGGTGTTTGCATTATAGCAGTAAAATAAACAGGCCCTCCCTCAATGACTTCTCTACTCATGGAGGAAAGGGCCACAAGTTATAAACTCATGCCATGGTCCTCAGGAAGGGGCTTACAGCTAGAGGCAGGCTGTAGGGGGCTCATGCAACAAGGTGAGAACTCCACCTCTTGGCACCTGAGCTTCTGACTAGGCACAGTGGGTTCTTCAATACTGAAGATTCGTATTAGGAGAATTTAGCAATATCATATCGTATAGCAAATCACGTTCCCAATGAGAGCCAGTTGGCCAAGGGCTGAGAAGGCTGGAACAACCTCTGGTGCATGGGTATGCTGTTTAGTTTTTTGTCACCTTATACAAGTGGGAAATTGAGAAAATGCCTCCATCGGAGCGGCCTGTAGGTGAGCCTGCAGGGCATTTTCTTGATTAGTGATTGATGTGGGAGGGTCCATCAGACTGGAGGTGGTGCCACCCTTGGGCAGGTGGTCCTGGATGGTGTAAGAAAGCAGGCTGAGTAAGCCACGGGGGGAGCAAGTCAGTAAGCAGGACCCCTCCGTGGCCTCTGCATCAGCTCCTGTTTACAGATTTCTGCCTTGAGTTCTTTTTGTGATAGACTGTAAGTGGAATGGTCATGGTGTTATTATAGCCACAGAGGTCAAACTTAACAGTGGAGCTGCCAGTCTGGAACAATTTCCTGGCAGCACTTGCCCTGATGTCTCAAAGATGAACTGGTCCAGCAGTCCGCTGCCACTCTGCTCAACATGTCCCTTTGTCCAGCTACTCTCGTCTCCCCTTTTCCCTGCCTTGGACTGTGACTCTACGAAGTCCATACTGATACTCAAGCTCCCTGGCCCTCCCTCCTAAGGCCTCTGGGAAGCTGTCAGATGGACTCTAGTATCCTGAGGGGCTAAGAAGCCATGTTCAAAGCAATGAATAATGGCAAGAAACCAGGGCGTGGGAAGAAGGGTCTGGTGCCAGGTTAAGATGATGGGTGAGAAAGGGCCCCAGCACCTCACTGTGGCTCTGTCTGTATCCCAGCTCTCAGCCTTCAGTCTCATTACCCAACCCAAACCAAACCCCAAATGCCTTCTGGGCTTGGAACTCACAAATGGGGAGGTCCCTCACCCTCTACCTGGACCAGCAGGATCCTTAAGTCATCTGCCAAGGCCAATGAGAGTTGGGGTCAGGCTGGGCTGCAGGTATCTTCACCTGATAGACAGATTACTTCATTCTCTCAAATAACATCCTTCTAGTTAGTGTTAATTACAGGCCATAACACGCTGGATACATGGTTAACATTCTGGCATATTCTAGATTCTAGGCTATAGATTGGCTCTTCACTCTAATTAGAATGCCAGTAGTATTAATCCAGGAAAAAAAATGCTGTTCAATAGGCTCACTCCCAATCTCTAACATCTTACTTCAAGCCTTCCCTATGTGCAGATTTTAAGCAGCTTGCCTTGCCTTGTGGTAGAACAGGCTCACTTCTGTTTCTTAGGCAGATGTTAGCATCTCATAGGATGGGGATTACAACTCTACTTTCTTCTCCTCTCTGAAGCAACTAGCCAGGGATGGGTTCCCTATAAAGTGGTCCATCTCTGTATATGGGGGTCACCGAAAGGCAGACGATGATGTACTCTTCCTTGGTATCTAGGTAGGAGGTGATTGCCTAGAGCCATCTAAGCATAAGAGCAGGAAGGGGCCCTTGACTTACGCTTAATTAAGTCATTACATTTAGAGTCCTGTTTACTTGTTCAGTTAGCTCTGATGTTGTCAACTTTGTGTTTTATATTTACCAAAGAGTCACTGGAGCATGATAGACACCAGCAAGCTAGTATAAATGCCCAAATCAAACGTCCGCAGGGCAGTCACACGGAACTCATGTTCTGTTTCTCCTGTGCTCTTGGCCTAGGTGCAGTACTCGGTCGGCAGAGAGCTCCCTGCCCTGGAGTGACTTCCTCTAGGGTAATGTTTACCTCCAGCTCTGACTCCTTGTGTGAGAAAGCCCTGCATTGCGCCCAGCTTCCTCCCTGGCTCCACTCCACATGCTGGGGTGTGTGTGTGTGTGTGTGTGTGTGTGTGTGTGTGTGTGTGTGTGTGTGTGTGTATGTGTGTGTGTGGTCAGTCCCACCAACCATTTGACAGATGGGGACATATAGCACCATGGAGAAGAGGCAGTGGTATGAGACTACTAAAGAATCTTCCTTTTGCCCAACAGGACTCTTTTCTCTATGGTTTCCCCCCCGCTGGCTCTGCAGGAAGCTGCTGGGCTAGGCTGGACAGAGCATAAAGGGGGGGGGGCGCTGTTGAAGGCAGGCGAGGTTGAGACAGGAGAGGAAGGGGACCAGGGTCAGCGAGGAAAGTGGTCCCCAGGAGTCCTGTATCCATTCCTGAAGGTGGCATCCACTACTGGCCACAGAGAACTATCTTGACACAAACCTCAACAACCTGTAAACATGACTCAGACCCCAGCCCCAACTGAGCATCCTTGGAGAGTGATCCCATGGGCTGGAGGCTCCCCTCTAACTTAACAGGGAAAATACTTCCCTTTCCAGAGTTGTGGGGGCTGGAAAGTGGGTAGCAGGTGTTCTAGTCCCGAGGACCAAGCTGGGTGGAGTTTGCCTTTCCTGGAGCTGCCGAAGCTGCTAGGCCACATACTGAGCGTCTATCACTCACCCTGCTTCTCACAACTTTGGTGTTACAGTGTTAGTGTGAAGGTGTTGGATCCCCTGGAACAGGAGTACAGACAGCTGTGAGTTGCCATGTGGGTGCTGGGAATTAGATCCAGGTCCTCTGGAAGAGCAGCCAGTGCTCTTAACTGCTAAGCTATCTCTCCAGCCCAGTGTTAGAGGTTTTTTTTAATCACCTTCTCATGTCACACATGAGAACACTGGTCGTCAACTACATGGCTAGCTTACATACAGGCTGTCCGATTCCAGAGGCCACACTCACCCATGCTGGATTGCACAGTACTAACAAACTGTAAATAGAAGGCGTTCGAATCCCTGACCCACGGTTTATCCCCTGTGTGACCTGAGACAGTTACTAGAATGATTTCAGCATTCCCCAAGATGAGGTCAGGACTTGTATGGTGCCCACGGATATAGATGCTGGGAGTATTGAACAATCAGGGAGGGTGTGGCACTGGGCACAGTTGCTGACACGCTTGCACGGCGTGTCCTGCTATTGCCGATGCACATGGCCCACCCTGAACTTCCCCCGAGAAAGAAGGGTTGCAGCAGCCACCGCAGAGAAGCGTGGGTGGGCAGGAGCCACGCAGCCCCTGGCAGAACAGGGGCCTCTCTTCCCTGCGCTGATGCAAGGCTACAGGGGTGGGGTTTTGGAAAAGCATCAGGGAAGCACAGCACAGCTGTAGATGGCGGCCATGAGGTGGAGGAGGGGGTTAAGAAGATCTGCAGGGGAGGTGGGAGGGTTGGGGGTGGTGGTGAATAGAGATGGGAGAGGAAGGAGGGCTGGCAGGTGGCATGCCACTGCAGATCCTGACCTGTCACCAGGTTCCGGATGAGGAGGGCCTCGTCCTCTTTGTGGTACTCCAGCATGCCTTGGAAGTCTTTCTCTTTGCGCTGGACTGTGACCTGTCTTGTGAGTTCATGGTGCCTCCTGTCACTCTGGGCCAATGCCTGGGCAGCTGAGTGGGAGAGAGAGAACAGAAACATGGTGAGAACATGCAGCCAAGTGCCTGCAGGAGGGGTGTCCGGGCTTGGGGATCATGCTCAGGGTACCGGAGCACCCATGCTCTATGAGCCTGTTCCTGCAGCCTGAACCCCCTCTCTATCTGTGGGTCAAGGACTTCAGCCCTTGTGCTCTGGTCCACTGTGCACGAGAGGAGGGAAATCTCTGCAAGGGAAATAAATGGGTAGGGTTTGGGACCAGAGAAAGTGAGAAGTAGTGGCAGCCACGTTCAGCCTGCCCCGCTGGCAAGCGCTTCTCTCCTCCTACCAAGCTGTAAGGAAGGTCCCCGAGTCTGGGAGGAGAGCCAGGCAGCCCTGTTCCACACAGTTCCCTGTGCGAACCACAGCACTGCACTGGCCTTCAGGACACTATGGTGGAACAGTTGTGGGCTGGCCAGGGGAGCAGGTGGCGCCAGGGGGGCAGAAGCACTGTAGCTGCCCTCTAAATGGAGTGTGAGCCCACGTAGGCACAACTGCCTGGGAGGCATCTTAGTGGTACCCATCGGGGGTATCGAGGACTTGTTAAACTTCATGCAGACCTTTCCCCCGGCTCAGGGGAGGGTAGTAGATGCCAAATATTTATGCATGGCACACCCGGGTACCAACAGTGTGAGGGTACTGTCACCAGCACAGGACAGATATGAAGCCCCCAGTTTTGCCCCCACCAGTCTGGCTGAGGAGACGCATTTGTGTGTTTGCACAGAAAAACACTTGACAATGCAGCTCGGCCAGGTGCCAGGCCAGGAGTGTGCACCATGGGTGTTGGTGGAGGTGGAACACCGAGAAAGCCAAGCAGGAAGGAAGAAAGCAGGCAAGGACAGGGCTGTTCCATCAAAACATCCCCTAGAGCAGTGATTCTCTACCTTCCTAACGCTGTGTTCTCTACCTTCCCAATCATAAAATACTTCCGTGTCTGCTTTATAACTGTAATTTTGCTCCTGTTATGAATCGTAATGTAAATATCTGTATTTTCTGATGGTCTTAGGTGACCCCTGTGAAAGGGTCATATGACTCCCAAAGGGTTTGTGACCCACAGGTTGAGAACCACTGCCCTAGATGAATGGGAAAAGAGCCGGGCAGGTGATCCTGGTGGAAATTTGTAACCGGCTGGAGGGATGCTCTGTGTATGTGCATATGCATATATGTATACATACAGAGGAGCACCAGGTAAGAGCTGGGATTTTACTCTGCTGGCTATGGGGGAAGGGCCAACAGTGCTCTGAGCGGAGGCCCTGGGAAGCTACTGAGTCACCTGGGAACAGAGGACAAAGGTTGGTCCCAGGGTAGTCAGGGCACACACAGCCTGAAGCATGGAGGAAGGTTAAGATAGGTCTTAAGGTTGATAGGTCTTCCAGACCTAGCAGCATGGAGAGGTTGGAAGCCGAGAGACTTGGAAAATGACTACGCAAGGATCCAAAGATAAGAACCCTGTAGATGACAGAGGTGCACAGGGCACATGCAGGGAGACCGTCCACTGAGAAAAGGTCACAAGCTGCCTGGTGTGGGCGGGCAGAGATGCCCCTGACGCTACAGAAGCAGCGGCTATACACTCGGTGATCAGTGGTGTGCCCAGAAGGCTGTGGCCTCAGGATAGCACAGGGCATGATTCCAGGCCTAGGGTGGTGGCTCTTGAGTTAGGGGAGAAGGAAGAAGAGAGTCATCTGTGGCACGAGGGGTCAGAGGGCTACAAGCAGGGTGGGACATGTTTAGAGAGTACAACAGTTAGTGTTCCAGGAAAGAACATGCCCATGGCTTTAGGAGAGTGATTTAGCCTTCTGTCTGCCCCTCCCTCTGGGCTAGACTCCAAATTGAGAGTTTAATTGTGGCACCCCGCGGCCCGGGGTGAGGGCCCCAGGTCTTCGGGTCACTGTGTTCTTTCACACCAGAAAGGCTCCAAGGGCAGGCACCACTGTGAACCTGTGTGTCTCCACTCTTCCAGCCTGCAGAACCTGGCTCACACCTGCTCAAGCAGGTCTCCCTCCCTGCTGCTTCCGATCCCATCTGGTGGCACAGCCACCAGAAAACTGATGAAGTCCCACAGGCTGGCCAAGTCAGCTCTGCCCCAGGTCCCTATACTCAGGCACACCCAGGCACAGTACCTTCTAAGTCCTGGACCTTCTTCATGTAAATCTTCAGCTGCTTTTTCAGCTTCCTCTCATTCTTCTCCAGCTTTTCTACCAACTCTTTAAAATCCTGAAAGCACAAGGGAGCAGCAGTGTGAGCAGTGTGAGATGTGGGCCTCACACTGAAGGAAAGGGGAAACCCTTGCCAGGAGCACAGGGGCCCAAGGAGGCTAAGGAGCCCCACTCAGGTAAGGGCAGAAGGGCGGCCTCTCACAGGCCCAGCACCTGCTCAGAATCCAGGAAGGACGATGAGTCAGAGTTCATTCTATCAGCAACAACAGGGTGAACTCCTCCCAGGGCGAATTCCTCCCATTGGGGCACTCTGGCGCCTTGTGGAATCCTAGGGCTCCCTAAGTCAAGCCTCCCCAGAGGACGCCCAGCCCAGGTGTCCAGGGGAGCGGCGGGCAGCACTCGGGGTGGAGGTGTGGTCATGTAGGGTCAGCAAGCCAAACAGGCTTCTGGGATGGGAAGCCAAACAGGACAGGGGCTATGGCCTCAGTCGCTAGCAACTGTTGCCCCTGGAAGCAAGTCAGCCCACTGGGACCGAGAACAGTAAGCTGCCCAGGGAAGGACTTTGCGATCATTATCATCCCCACTACGCTGGGTGGTGGCTCTTTGAGAAAGTGAGAGAGGGAAGGAGCCCTGCTTTCACCGTTAGAGCCAAGCCTAGGTAACCAGAGTGACGGAGAGAGGGGAAGCAAGCAGTTCATCGGGGCCTCTGAAACCTCTGGGGTGTGTGTACATTCTCACACTCCAGCCCTGTGCGTATTACAGGGTATAGAATCCAGGGCCAGGGAAGCTTGTGCTAGGCAAGTACTCCATCGCTGGTGCTCCACCACCAAGACGGAACCTTTGCCCTGGAGTCCAAGGATTTATTTTGTGTGTGTGTGTGTGTGTACGCTGTGTTTGCCCGTGTGAATGGGAGTGCAGGTGCCTGTGGGGGGGGCCAGAGGATGGAGAGGGCTTTAAAGTAGGCCTGCAGAAGAGAGTGAGCTACAAGATGAATACCAGTGCTATGGGCTTTGCGGACAATTCTAACTGTAGGTGTTTGGAGGGACTTTATCTTCACTGAAAAGGGGAGGGGCTGGCCAGATGGCTCAGCAAGCACTGGTACTGCTACCAAGCCTGCTCAGCCCTCAAAACCTACACGGTGGAGAGAACTGACTCCTGTAAGCTTTCCTCTACCGGCCACGCTGTGTGCGCGGCAGGATTCCTCACGAATAAATGAATAATAAATAGATAACACAAGCCACAAAAAACCCTTCTCAGATGAGGGATATCTAAATGTTCGCGTAGTCCAAAGGACAGGGGTGATGGCACACACAGCTGGGGAGGGAGAGGGACAAAAGGAGGGGAGAGAGGGAAGGATGGGGGGGAAGGGATGGGGGAGAACAGGTCAGAGACTGCAGGAAGCCGGTTGATACAAAGGACTTAAGTGTCTTGAATCACTTTAGTCAAGATTCTTAGGGGACAAATAAGGCCTCCTGTTTTAGTCAGTGTTCTATTGCTGTGAAGAGACACCATGACCACAGCATCTCTGCTAAAAGAAAACATCTAATTGGAGGCTGGCTTACAGTTTCAGTCTCAGCCCATTATCATCTAGGCAGGGAGCATGACAGCACACAGGCAGGTGCTTGAGCAGTAGCTGAGAGCTACATCCTGATCCACGGGATGAGAGAGAGACTCTGGGTTTGGCATGGGCTTTGAAACCTCGAAGCCCACCCCCAGGGACACAATCCAACAAGGCTGCGCCTTCGAATCCTTTTAATCTTTTCAAGCACTGCCATTCCCTGGTGACTAAGCATTCAAATCTGTGAGTCTGTGGGGGCCATTTCTTATTCCAACCACCACACCTGTGAGCCCTGGGGTTTACGATGGCCCCATCTCACCCTCAGGCACCCATCCTATCGACTAAGCCAATCCACCGAATGAGGAATGTTGCAGACCCAGTCAAGGCTGTGGTATTGCAACTGCCAGCTGATTCCCATGAAATGCGATGTTACTGAGTCCGGAAGACGAAAATGCGCTCGGGTCTCCCCATAATCGTTCTTCACAAACTTCCACAAAACTCGGGGGGATAATCAACAAATACCCTGACACCTGTGTGCAGATAAAACACCAGACGCCTCAACAAGGAAGGGTAAAGTCCAACAGTCAGGCTGCAGGCACTATTCTGTTTTGAGGCACAGGTTCCACAGCCAGCCTCCGCAAAGGAGCCTGGGAAAGGCATCTCTCCACTCGAATTACTCGTGCAGATGCTGACTGCGACCCACGGTGCTGCATCCTGTCCGCCAGCTCTTCAGGTTAACAGGCTTCATTTAAAAGGCCAGGGGGCCTTCTCCTTAATGTGCTAAGCAGAATGACATAAAGCTGTGCTCCCCACCCTTGCAGGACCCTGGACCCCCCTGGGAATCTCCAAAGCCTGAGCTCAGCACAACTCAGGATGAATTAAAGGCAACACTAAAGCTGGCAAACTCCTGGAGCTGCTTTTGAGGCCCAAAGCCACGAAGGCCACAGTGATGGTGACTGCAGGTCTGAATTAACCCGAGAGAAGTCTTGGCATCGAAGGTTGACTGTGTCTGAAGACATCTCTAGAGGAGATGCTACCAGGACAATTACATCCTTACCCCACCCACAAGCCTCTCTGACCTCTTCAGCTGGAACTGCCCTAAATTCCTGGATGTTTAGCTCTTAAGGTTCCCAGCATGCTGTGTTGTGGTCTGCTGTATACACATGTCCTCCTCCTTGCCCCGTGCCCATGACTCATCTGCCAGCACAAAGCTGGCATGGATATTTGCTGACAATGGGGACATAAAACACAAAGAGTCCTTAGAACGTGCTGCATGTTGGCTCTGCTTCTGGGTCATAGTTCCAGACCTTGTGCTACAAGTCTCCCAAAAGGTGCAAACTGTAGTCTCCTTGTCTCTTTCCTTGTCTTCATAGACCCAGAACCTCACATGCCAAGGTTCACTACTCTGGCAGGTGGGCCCATGAGACAGTCTTTCCTCTGCTCAAGGTGGGGGCTGTCCACTGACTCTCCAGGGCTACAAGTGAGTACAGCAACTCTATGTCATACAGCTCTCTTAGCTAGCTGGTCACCCACCATATCACATGTCCAGTGCCCCCCCCCAGGAGGCATCGGCCTGCAAATGCATTTTCTAGGTTATGTCCTTCACGTACCAGAAGCTGGCTCAACAACTTATTATTTGATTTTTAGATATATACAAAATAGGTTTCATGATGATGTTTTCATACATGCATATTATTGCCAACAACATGTACATTTCTGTGCATCAGACCAATTGTCTATAGTGACAAGAGGACATATTATGGGAAAGAGGAGGAGGAATCATGTGTGAATCCAGTACCTTACCTCCTCTTGGGGTTGACCCGAACCCAGGCTGCCTGGTCCCAGGTGCAATGATGGCCCAGCTGGGATGGACTGGAAGCCCTGCTAGTGTGTGCCCTGCCAATCAGGCTTGGGTACTTCCTGCTGTTCCCTCAGACACCCCACCCCAGAAGACATGTGAACTCCATTTCCATTCTCCTCCATAAATCCTCTAGTCCAATTTTTTCTTTTTCTGTAATCTGTGCTGCTAATTCCATGGACAACCATGTTTTTGTCAATATTGTCTTCCTTATGCTCTTCATTTTGTCTTCCTCCTGACCTGTAAGTTCTCCAGGGGACACACTCTCCCATCTTTCTAACATCTGCCATGACCACCAAAGATAGCCACCAATGATTTCTGTTCCCATCAAAAGACAAGTACATCCCTACTACATTCGGCTGAGCTGTGAGATTTGTCTTGGTCACTAGCATGGGGCAGAAGTAATGTCATGCTGGTTCTGGGCACAGGCCTTTAGGAGCCCTATGGCTCCTGCTTTCTTCTTCTTGGAAGCCAGTACCACATACAGCTTCTCAGGCTAGGCTAGAGAATGGACAGGGCACATGAGAGAGACCTCATGGAGGAAGACCCAAGTCCAGACACCAGCATGAAGCTACAGCAGATCTTCCAACTCCATGTGGAGCATAGCCAAGCTGTCCCCACTGGGATCTGCCGGAATCCCTGACCTGGACATAGACATTGCCATTTTAATACATCAAGTCCTATGCCATTTGTTTCAATTATCACTCGTCGACAGACAGGGGTTTTTTCTAGGTCTCTGTTCCTACTGCAGAGCTAAGGACATGAGCCTTGCCCATCTGGCAGCTCCTGATCATATTCCACCTAGAAAGGATCCCAAGAGCTACAACCCACGAGGCATGGCCACTTACCAGGTTCTCATTGGTCAGTCGAGTTATCTCCTGCTGGACCCCAAACTCCACCTGGGCCTCTGGGGAGAGCAGCAGGGTCTGGCAGAAGGTCTGCTGCTGCTTGTCCATCTCCTCTTTCAGGGCCTCCACCTGCGCCTTGAGACGCTCCACCTCCTCCTCATGCTCCAGGCTCTGGGCCTGCAGCTGTGCCTCCAGTAACCTGCATCCAAGAGAGCAGCCAGGTCACCATGTGGCTGGGGTGGGCACCCACGGTGAGAGGTCACAGACAAACGTAGCGGGGAGCAGCCAAGCACATAGCAGGAGCGATCATACGGCCCCAGCAAGGAAGATGCAGCGGGGAGGTGGGTACCGACGGGCAAGCAAGCCAACTTGCCATCCTCTCAGATGACCAGAAACTACGGCCAAAGGCACCCTTGGCTTTAGGCTTCAATTATCACCTTAATCCCCCCCCCCACATGGGCACAGCCTACTGGTTTGGGATTGAGAGATCGTCTCCATGACAATATACCAGTAATGCAGATAAATGTCTCATAGTGTCCTTGAAACAGCGGTGTCAACATCTGCTCTAAAGTTTGTAAGAATTTCCTTGTATAGACAAAATACTGAAAAACAGAGCTCATTATATTAGTTTATTCTCCCTTCAGTAGATGCCTCTCTTTTTTTAGAAGGAGAAGAGCTATTGTTTTGCCTTTCCTTTCCACCCTTATTGTCCCACTTTACCTCATTTACTAATCATTTACAATTTTCCCTCTGGTCTAAATGGCTAAGACGACTTGGGGGAATCTGCCATGAGATACAAAGATCCAAAGGAAGCTTGGAGAGGCTTGGGAGGAGGCGCAGAGATGTCTGTCTAAGAGGCCCATGGTTCAAGGTCAGCGCCTGCCTGCTCTAGCAGGAACTTCAGCTTGGATCTGACCCTGGCATGGCCAGATGCAACAGGGGCGTCTCCTGGGACTTCAGTCACCTGATGTAGCTTTCTGATCTATTAGGGCCACCTTCAGCAAAAAGGGACATGGTTGGTGGGTTCTGAGGACATGCTCACCCCTGTCTTTCCCTGGGATGTAGTAAAGTTTCTGCCCAGGGCGGTACCCAGGGCTATCTCCTGGTGTCCAGATGGCAAAGAGTGGGCAGCCACCATGTGTTTGCTATTCTGCTGGTTTGGGAGATAACTACCATAGAGAAGGGGGAGCAAGAGAGAAAGAGGACATCTGCTTTGTTGGCAGAAGCAGCCACATTTTAGGCAGCCAAGTCAGTTCTACAGGCTGGCATGTGTGAGGGCTTCTCAGCAAAGGGATACGAATGAAAGAGATGATGATGAAGGATTGCCTACCACCTCAGGCCTGCTACCAATGGAAACAACAGTAACCTGAGACTGGTAGATGATACTCTGGTAATGAAACTGGCATTTTCGATAGCACACAGTATTCAGACACCATTCAGCATTGGCTACAACAGACTAAAACTCCATCAGTGTAAGAGGTAAAGTTAACAGGACCGAGGGCGTGGACCTTTTGGTTCTAGAGAGCTGTCCCAGGACCACTTTCTGACCTGCTGCGTGTCCCCTGCTCGCATCTGCCTTACTCTCAAGTGGATTCAGCTCAGGGCTCTATGCCAGGAATAAGATTCCCATCAAGCATCCGGAAGATCTCCTGAAGCACGGACCTGTGTGCTATTTTCCAATGCATTCACTTGATTCTTCCTTGTACCACAACCAGTCTCAAGACAGACATGAGGAGCGCCCTGGAAATGGGCGCGTCAATTCCTGCTCTAACAAACTTCTGACTGGTGAGACTCCGACCTTGTTGAATAACCATCACAGAAAGCTAATGCTTCTGTACTTTCTACATAAGTAAAGCTTCACCTGAGGTGATCCTCTTCCATCTGCCGAGCCTGTGTGGCAGGCCCTGCTCTGGTCCACCATTTGACAGTGAGGAAGCCGACCACACCCCCTGCTCAGGTTATGGGGCCCAGCAAAGGATGCAGCACTGGACTGTCATGTGGGAATCTCCATGATCTCACCACCAGCAGCGTCAGGGAGAGGACCACGTGATAGCTGAAGTATGGGCACACCCCAGTCACTGAGGGAGCCAGGCCTAGCACTCATTCACCTCCCTGGCCCTGATTGATGACCCCCACCCCCCATTTCGTGTTGAGAACAAATGAACCAAGTCATGCTTCTGCTCTCTAAAAGTCACAGCAAGTATGACAGGCCTTGGCACTGCAGTCCTTGCTCTGCATACGTCCCTGGCTAAACTGTTCACCGACTGCTAAAGGTGGCTGGGGTCAGTGTTGCTGCTGATAGCAAATGTTAGATGGTCTACTTAACCAGAACTGAACCAGTCCCTTAAACCTGCCAAGCTGTGCTCACAAGGGCGCTGTGAGGGGAGGCCAGCACGACGTATCCCCAGCACTCGTCTGTCAGTGCTGGGACCAGCTGCATGCTGATAGCATGTACCAAGGGGCCTTGCATCTGCAGCACAGCCAGCATGCAAACGAGGTCACGGACTTTGGCTAGCCCTGAGGGGTTAAGAAGGGTGGCACGAAGCATGTCAGCAGCATCATGGGCCCTGGAGGCCCACAGCTAAGTTTCCTTCTTGTGGCTTCTATAGAAACCCTGCCTCTTCTCTCCACCTACAGAGTGAAGAGCTGGGCCACGTGGTCTCGCAGGTTCAACTGGGCCACCTAGTGCCACCATCTTGACCCAGGCAAGCAGCTTCTGCTGACGTCATCTACACTGCCCAGACACAAAAATGATGACTGGACAACCCCTAGGGATTGCTGGCCAGAAGCCCATGTGAACTGTGCCAAATACTCTCACAGTTGCTCAGGCCAAAACAAGGAACGTAGACATGAGCAGGCACACAGATGGAGCACATACAAGACAGGAGCGTGTTTGACCTGGCAACTTGCTTTAGGCCTTGGTAAGCCAAGCCGAGTTCTCCATCTTCATTCAAATATCCCCAGTCCTCAGTCTGGCTAGAGATAAAGTACAGAAAAAGAGGGTGTCCAGTGGAGAGGAGAGAGGCATTCAGACAGACTGGAGAAGCTTACAGGCAAGGCTTGGAGTCAAGAAAAGGGGACAGGCTGCAGGCTGTTTCCCACACTTCTCTCTGGCTCCCACATTCCTGCAGACAGAATCCTCCTGGAGTTTCCCAGGTTTCAGGTACTGTCTGGGAAAGGGGTTCATGTGGTCTCACAGAGGTCCACCAATAGCTGCAGCTCAGGTACATGCTTGCCAAAGACACCAAAGAGCTGTACTTGTTCCAGTGATTCTACAAAGAACAGCCGTGCAATAGCCCAGGCTGGACCATGGCACTTCCGGGTCTGACACCCATCATGCTTTCTTCCATCTGAAGGAGCTGAAAGGACAGGCGGACAAGTCTAAACAGGGTCTGGAGAGAAAACACCAAATGTGCTGACGGCAAATTGGGGCTGAGCAGGCCCTCATGGTATGGAGGACGCTGCACAGCTTTCTGCCATTCTCTAAGAGGAAGTAATTGCTTACTAACCTGAACACTCCAGCTCTCCTTCCAGAGGTGTAGGGGTATGTGTGTGTGTGTGTGTGTGTGTGTGTGTGTGTGTGTGTGTGTGTGTGTGTGTGTGTTAAAGTTAACTGCAACAAACTTACAGGCTGAGAATCGAATGTCTTCCCTTGACTTACGTTACATACCATTTCTCTGTCCAGTCAACCCATGAAAGCAGGTCCCTGGTATTTTCTATTGGTCATGTCAGCTGCCTGATGTTAGACAAGGTGGCTCTTGGAGGTCACTGTGCCCCATGCTCTTCTTATCCCACCCCACAAAGTCCTGGGCACAAGGGTGTCTTTAAAGGCCAGTGAACTAGCTGGTAGAGGGCATGAATCATGGAGCAAGAATTAGTCCACACAGCCTACTAGAAAGGCCATTCAGCCCATGCCAGAACCCAGATGGCAAACCAAACAGCCCTGGTCAAACCAGCTACTGTCGTGTTTAGTCATGCTTTGAGTAAAGCCCAGGGGCTGGAAGTATCCATTCCAGATCCCTCCAGAGCTAGCCTCTAGCAGGAGGTCACCAGACCTGTAGTGCTTACACAGTCTGTTTCCTGGGCTGGGGTGCCCGCATCTGTACCAACCTCTCTCTGAAGGTCTACTTCTAGGGCCTTTCTGTGGCTTCTGTTCCTAGTCTACAGCCAACCCCTTAGTGTTAGAAGCCCCCATCTCTGCGGCACGGCAGTGAGGAGGATGTTGCCAACAAGGTTACTCTGAGGAAGACTGCCATCTGAGTCTTCTGCCAGGTCGATGGCTGGAACTTCACCAGTGTGGTGGCTTGAATGACAATGGCCCCCACGGGTGTGAATACGTGGTCCCCACGGGTGTGAATACGTGGCCCCCACGGGTGTGAATACGTGACCCCCCCACGGGCGTGAATACGTGACCCCCCCACGGGTGTGAATACATGGTCCCCATAGGTGTGAATACGTGGCCCCCAAGGGTGTGAATACATGGTCCCCACGGGTGTGAATACGTGGCCCCCATGGGTGTGAATACATGGCCCCCACGGGTGTGAATACGTGGTCCCCATGGGTGTGAATACGTGACCCCCCACAGGTGTGAATATGTGGTCCCCAGTTGGTGAACTGTTAGGGAAGGATTAGGGGGCGGGGCTTTGTTGGAGGAGGTGTGTTACTAAGGGTGGGCTTTGAGCTTTGGAAGGACTTTGCCATTCTCAGGTATCTCTCTCTGCCCTGGGCTTCTAGATCAAGACCTAGGCTCTCAGCTCCTATTCCAGCACTGTGCTGCCATATTCCTCACCATGATGGTCATGAACTCTAACTCTCTGAAAGTGTAAGCCCCCAATTTTTTTTTTTCTGTTCATGGCCTTGGCCATGGTGCCTTATCACAGAAATGGGAAAGTAACTAAGATAGTTACTTTCAATACTGCTTCCCCTTCCTATGCCCAGCAGTTAGGTGTCCTGGGTAAGCCACATGTCTCAGAAAATCTGAGGACCTAAGGCTGTGTAGAGCAGGGGCTGATAGCGACACCTCCTGTTCTTAGATGTGAAGGCTCGCATCTGCCTAGGGTCCTTTGGAGCAATGCTTGACTCCAAAGGAGGCCCTGGGGCTGTAGGCGTTCTTGGAAGTGCTCAGCAAGTGTGCACCAGGGCTGAACAGGAATGAAGGCCAGCATGCTGTACTCCAGCTGTCCCCTCTGCTGCAGGTGGAGACATGCTGGCACCTGGCTGGACCTCTGGGGGGTCTCCCAATCTTCCTCTGAGGCTTCCCAGTCTTGCTGACTGATCTTTAGAGCCCGAGAGGGGACTGCTGGGTCTCACTTCTGTAATTCTCATCCTTTTCAGAGTGGCACGTGGGTGATGTCCAGATATACTTGTTGGAAGTTAGCATCAGTCCTCATGTTACTAATTTTACAGGGAAATAGAGTTCTGAGTTCTGTCACATGCTGGGTATCATGCAGAAAGGTAAAAGGTAATAATGTACATTCCAGGCCCTCTGCTTTGAAACATGAAAAGAGGCACATGAATAAATTAAAAACTAGTGAATCAGCTCAGGACTCAGTAGAGACTTTTGCTCCTAGGTGAGAGAGACCCAAAGTACGGGAGACTCAGACTCTTCATGCCTGTGCTTGGGAGTGTGGCTGGGGAGAGAGTGACATCTGCTGGTGGGAAGAGGAAAAGCCAAACAGCTCAGCTTCAGGAAATCACCAAAGATATTCACGGACTCCCCCGTGCACAGGCACACCTGAAGTGGCTAAAAACAGAGGGACAATCAGCAAGGCCTGCGGTTCATTGTGGAGCCAGGGGCCCCACCAGATGCTCTTCTGCACTCCCTGGCCTGATTTCCCATGTGTTAGGTTAAGTGAGCTGTATGACCTCGGAAGTATTTTCTACTAGCCGTAGAGGTCATGCAACAGAAATGGTTTCAGGGAGGATCCACTTCCCTCTGCAGACCTTGGAAAATAGGACCAAGCAACCAGCCTCCGTCATATATCCAGGCATGCCGAGGCTGGTCAGTTCCTTGTGTGTAGGAAGACCCCTGTGTGCTCTGTGGGTACTTACTTCTTTAGCTCACACTGAAGTTTCTCTCAGCAGCCCAGGATCTTTGCTGGGGCCTCTGAGAAGTAGATCAGGAGCTCAGACACAGAGGGAGAAAGAGGCCACCCGAGGGAAGCTGCCTTCAGAGCTAGGCTCTGTCTAGGTGCACTTGTCTTTCTAAGAACTGGCACCTCCAGTGGCCCTGGCTCTGGACAAAGGAATAAAGCTTCTCTGTGCTGAGGCCTCCTGCTGTTTCCTGGGTCCCAAGGACAGATGCACCAGTGCGCTCTCTGACTTGCTGTGGAGGAAGGACCTCTATAGCCTTGGCAGGGCTTTGGTGAAAGTGTGGGAGGCGGGGGGTGGGGGGGGGAGTGCGGGGGTCAGAGGAGTACTGTTCTTGAAGGCAGACCTAGGCTGAGTCCCAGGCACACTCCATGCCCAGTCCTAAGCCAGCTCTGTGACCTGGAGGGCCTGCCTAGGGGAGGCTGGCCTGGTGGTGGCAGCACCTTCTCTCCTAGTCCACATTTCCATCATTCTCCCAGAGCAGCTGGGAGAGGATGATAGACTTCTGACTCTGAGCTTGGCTTCCACGGCTGTTTCTTTCCCTTAGCTTTTCTGTAAGTAAAGCAGTGAGAACAGTGCTGGCCACGCCTAGCTCCCAAGAAGGCAGCAGAAGCTTGCAGAAGCAGAAGAGGGAGTGTTTCCCTCTCTAGGAGCTCTTGTCAGAGCAGGCCTCAGTACTGCTGACCTGCAGGCTGACAGTGCAGGGGAGACCCTGGCCTGCAGGTTGACAGTGCAGGGGAGACCCTGGCCTGCAGGATCACAGTGCAGGGGAGACCCTGGCCTGCAGGTTGACAGTGCAGGGGAGACCCTGACCTGCAGGTTGACAGTGCAGGGGAGACCCTGGCTTGCAGGTTGACAGTGCAGGGGAGACCCTGGCCTGCAGGCTGACAGTGCAGGGGAGACCCTGGCCTGCAGGTTGACAGTGCAGGGGAGACCCTGGCCTGCAGGTTGACAGTGCAGGGGAGACCCTGGCCTGCAGGCTCACAGTGCAGGGGAGACACAGAACACGAGGAATTTCTCTGCAGATCTCGACAGGCCATGAAAACTCAGCAGGTGGGAAGAGTGCCGAATCTGAGGGACTGCACATGGGACTGAAGTGTATCTGGAATCTTCTCGGGATTCTAGCCTGAACTTAGGATATATACACATTTTCTAGGTACAGATTTCATCAAAATTCTAAAGGGATTCCACTTGACCACACATGGAAGACACAATTTGTATGTGTGTAAAGCTCTCCATTACAGGCCAGCCACAGGAAAGGGCACAGCAAATCTCTATCTTCACAGCACCCTTGTCATAAGGGGGTGCCTGTCTGGGATCCCCAACATCACAGCCTAACTCCCCTTCCTTGCCAGTAAGTCCAGCTGCTTTTCCACTTAACTCTCGGATTTGCAGTCATTGCAAAACATTCTCAAAGCTGAGGCTGGCACAAAACCCACAGAGACAAACTTCTGTGGTGCCTAATGTGGCAGATATTGGGGACCCAGGTCCCCTGACTGCTCCTCCTCTGGGCAGCCGCTCTTTCTTAACTCAGGTTCTCCACTATTAGTTCACTGTTGCTTGCTGCACTTGCTGAGCGTGGACCGATTGTAAGATATAGTAAAGGCTATTTTTGTCTCATCACCTCCACTCTTATTGAGGGAAGACGACAAAATCTGGGGCACTGAGCAGCCCCTGGAAAGACCTAGACGGAGGACTAGACTCCTGACAGCTGAAGGGAAGAACAGAAAGAAGGCTGGGAGCAATTTCGGTTCTGAAGATCAGAGCGATAAGCCCCGCACGGCTGTCAGCTTGCTTTCTAATTTAATACTGCCCGCGCTCTTTTCGCTCATTCATCTCACGCCTTATCTCCCACCCGAGAGAATTTAAGATGACTGGATCTTGACTCCGGCTTTAGCCCAGAAAGTCACCTTCATTTCTTCCCTTTCTTTAGGGAGCACTGGGGGCTGGCTACATCTCCCCTTCTGGTTTCCCACGCCTGGTGGGGGTGGGGGTGGGGGTGGGGGTGGGGGAGAGAGAGTCCCACAGATGCCTGAGCTCTTGAGGACTTGGCTTTTTCCCTGTTGGAGAAAGAAGGGGGGGGGGGGGGGGGGGGGGGGGGGGGGGGGGCAACACAGCCCGGGAGCCAGGCCTCCTGGATTTTACCTTGGCTCGTCTCTAGGCCAGCTGCATGCCTAAAATGGCTCAATGCTTCTGGGCCTCAGTTTCTTCATCTGCGGAAAAGGGACTGCAGCAGCAGATCTGGACATCCTAAGCCCTTAAGTCTTCAGAGGCAGCAAACTCGGGCTGTGCTTACAGCATCACCCTGTGGTGAGTTCTGAAGGGTCCCTGCTTCCAGCAATGCTAAACAGATGCTTTCCACTGGCAGGTTTCCAAAGGGCCTTCCCTTCCAACAAATAATTCCCTGATGTTGGGCAGATGGCCAGTACCTAAGGGACAGGTTGTAACATGCTAGGCTAGACAACGGCCCCTCCTGTCGCCAGACTGCCTAGCACTTTCTCCAGGTACAGCGAGGTGGGCCCTACCTGTTTGTCTGGCAGACCCCGTGATAGGCCTCAATGGCATCTTCCTGGTCCACATGTTTCTCACTGTTGGGCCAACTTGTTCTGGCGTTGATGTTCGGTTCCTAGAAGGTACCAAATAAAAATTAGCTCTGGTGGTACAAACAATGTCTAGGAAATGGCTTTCCAATATTGAGGTATAGAAACGTGCTTTCGGGAAGAGAGGGAGACCTGGAGACATAAACAGCTGTGGCCATCTTGGGTGGAGGGACACAGTCTTAGCAGGGCCCAGCTGCAAGGCACTGAGAGCAAGTAGTGGGCAGCTGACAAGGATCCCGGAGGAGAAAGCACCCACAGCAGCAGGCATGGCCCAAGTTTCATTACTGAAGCCTTTCTTCCCCCCAAGCCACCCCAGGGCTCACGTCTAGAGTGGTCTAACCCATCAGAATCCATTGGATGACTCGAGTAACCCCTATTCCCTCCCTCCCATGCTACGATCTGTCCTAGAAGGTGAGGACACCAGAAACAAACATTAGGAGGACCCACCTCTCTGGAAGGGCCGAGAGAGAAATCCCTCCAGAGACAAAATGAACACTTAGGGGCAAAACACAACAGACAGCCACTATGACTATGTGTCTTGCTTCTTTTGAACATTTTCTTCATTAAAAACAAATAAATTCATGTATATGTCTGTTCATGTGAGCACAGTGCCCGTGGAAGCCAGAAGAGGGGCATCAGATGCCCATGGGGCTGGATTTATAGGTAGCTGTGAGTTCCCTGATATGGGTGCAGGAACTAAACTCTGGTCCTTTGCAAGACCACTGAAGTCCAAGCCATCTCTCCAGTCTCCTTGATCACTTTCTTAAATTCATTAAATTCTAGAAACTTCTAGCTCCATCTCTTGATCATGAAGGTCATGAAGAAAGGGCATCAAATCCCTGTGCTGCTCTCAGAGACCTCAAAGACAGACATCTTGCTCTTCAGGTTTAAGACCCCCAAGACACATAAAAACACAAGCCTACTGACCCAAGAAACCCAACCATGGCTGCCATCTCCTTACCATGTGCTTGCCAGCCAGTCGGCGCTGGTCAGCATTCATGATCTGGGTCCTGAGGATCAGCACCTCCTCTTTACGGACCTCAAGCTCCTCATTGGCCAGCTTGAGCTGGTTCAGCAGAAGGCTGTAGCTGTCTGGGGAGCTGGGGGTGGAGTTGTCCTGCATGGCTTGGTCGGCGACAGCTTTCCTCAGCTCATTCAGGTCGTTCTTCAGCTTCTTGTTCTCTGACTCAAGCTCTTGTCTCTGCAAGACAGCCAAGGGGCACAGCTGGAGGCTTCCTGGATCCACAGCAAGTTCCAGCTAGCCTGTCTCTTCTCTTGCCTTAAGTTTCCCTGTCTGCCAGAAGAGCAATGTTCTGTTTTTAAAGGAGACATACATGGCTCAAGTTCTGAGGGCGTCAGTGGTCAGTCAGAACTGGGGATTACTCCTCACCTTGAGTTCTCAGAGAAATGCATTTGAGATAATGGCCCTATAGTATTTGCTAGTGAAGCAATATATATTTTGAGCACATCTGGCCATGAAATTCTTCTTTGTGGAAGTGGTGTGTGTGTGTGTGTGTGTGTGTGTGTGTGTGTGTGTGTGTGTGTGTGTATGCATGTTTGTCCATATGTAGTGCTGGAGATCAAAGCCAGGACAAGTACTCTATCACCAAGCTACGCCCCTCCTCAAGCTGACAGCTGTAAGCAACACGCTGTTAATAAGACTTCCTAAAGCCTTTGTGTGCTCATCTGCTCTGTGACTTTCTAAGAACTTGAAGAAGTGATATGCTCGTTAGAGTCACAAGATGACTGAGCAGATCCCAGGGGGAAGAGCCTCTATCATCTGAGCAAGACATCAAAGCTGAGTCCAGGGAGGGGAAGGCTCATAGCCAGTCGAGTGCCTGATCCAGGATGTCAACATTGCCAACAGGAATGGATCTGGAAGGCGTTAAGGTAAACGATACAAACTGTCATAAGACGACAAATACCAGACGTGCGTCCACCTTGTGAGGCATCTAGAGTAGCGCGTAGAGGCAGGAAGTAGAATGCTGTCTGGTTGGGGCTGTGGGGAGGGAGGATCGGAAGTTCTTCAGTGGAGATAGGTTTTGCAGGATGAACAGAATCACAGGGGTGAACAGCCGTGAGCCGCTTGAACATTAGGAATGACTCCTCTCTTACTGACCCTTATATACACTTAAAGTTGTTAAGATAGTAAAATTTATGCTCTATGTATTTTACCACAGTGAAAAGGGGTTGGGGGGTGGAAGGAACAGGAAGGACTCAAGGCTGTTTTCTGGGCAATGGCTATTAGCAAACTGTTGTCCTATTAGTGACCAGCAGACTGCTGTAGCGCCTCGTTATGAAGTCTTCGGGAGGGAGGGCCTGCTCTGATGTCCCTTCCCTCCTCCTTGGGCCTGAAGTCTCCACTGCTCTACTTCGCCCTCTCCTGCCAACTCAGCATTTGCCACTCAGGGAAACCCTCTGCCTTACATCTGGATAGGCTGCAAAGTGGTTTTACTCCTGTGACCACATTTTATGTTAACTGGAGTCGTTTCAAGGAGAGGCATGTGTGTCTTGGTATAAATACAAACTCCCCTCCATTTCAAAGACGGAGATGTGAAAGTGTAGGGATGTAGTCACTTGCTTATCACTCTACTGATGAGCAGACTGGAGCTGAGGACCCAGTCTCCTGAAGCCCGGCTACGTCATCCGTCTACTAGCAGGGAACAGCCAGCCTTACCTTCAGACTGTTGTAGGCCAGGTCGGCATCCTGGTCCACATCGATGCCATTGTTTTGTTGCTCCATCTGCACAGGAAGGACAGAAAGGTGAGCACACACCACAGGGCACATGCTCTGCAGACATGTCTGATGGCAGCCAAGCTTTCTCTACTTTTGCATGAATAGCTGGCAACCTCACCCTCCACAGGTCTATTCTCCGCCTCCCTCAAAAAGTAGCTCAGTACTTGGGCTACCATGAATTCCCCCCAAAACAACTCCCTCCTTCTCCCACTGTATTACATGGTCCCCACAGATGCTGACAGGTTCACTATGTATAGCATTGTGTCATGAGTTAAATTATACACCCCCAATACTTTTAAGTCCTAAATTCTTCTCCCTGTGAATGTGACCTCGTTTGAAATAGGGTCTTAGGAGATGTAATGAAGTGAGTCCTAATGCTGTAAGAGGAAAGAACAGACAGACGCGATGGCCATATTAATATGGAGGAGGGACTGGAGTCAGCTACAAGTTAAGAACATCAGAAATCAAGAGAAAGGCAGGAGGTTAAGTCCTCCCCACCGCTTACAGGGGACGGCCACATCAAAACCCCGACGTCTGACTTCTGGCCTCTGGAAGACGACACTGTTGTTAATGAGGGGCTGATGTGGTAGTCTTTTGTTTCAGCACCTAGCTATAAAACCTGAATATGAATGCTCTTCTCACGTTTTGGGGGTGTGCACTCACGGGGCTGTTTCCCAGGTAGTCCAAAGCACCTTGTATTGAACTGAGATGCTTCCTCTGTGACCTTCTAGTAAGGCAGCCGGCCCACAGTAGGTATGCAGTACACATGGCAGGCGTCAGAATGCCAAGGCTGAGGGCTCTGGGCAGCGGTAACTAGAATAACAGGTCCACCAGGACTGGCGTCAGCCAAGGACTCCTCTGATTGTGCGGCAGCCATTACAGTAGAATTGGCTGTTGAAAGGGGGGCACAAACAACTTCCTAAGTGGCTAACTGCTTGGAGTGAGTTTAAGTGGGGGGGGGGGACGACCCTGAAGAACATGGGTCTTTAGAAGTAAAACCTAATAGAGTACTTAATAAGATTACCTAAGTCCTAGGAACCTGAAGTCCAGGTAAGGCTAGCATTGCTGTGGGTGGACCAGGGTACCTGGGCTTTAGAGTGAGCCTCTCCTGTAACCTCTTCCAGATGAAGGGCATGTACATTTGCCGCACTGTTTCCTGCCCAGTAAGCCGGGAAAAAGCTCTGCCAAGGTACCAACTTCTTGCCTCCCTCCATCACCAGTGGGCCAGGGGATGTGAATGCCCGGAGTCAGCATTCCTGATGCTAGGTAAGTGGCCTGCACTTGCATTCTGTGTGGCATAGATTTGCTACACAACCCCTCTACATGTTGAAGACATTAGATTCTCACAGAAAGAGGATCATGTAGTCATACCTGAAGGGCCATGTAAGTCATCTTTCTAAGTACACGGTGGTCTGTCAGAGTCACTGGAGTGGACAAGGTTAGTTGTGCCGGGTCAGGGGAAAGGAACTGGATAGACGGAGCAGCCTGTCTAGCAGCCACGGAGACCCCTCTCTCACAGTGGCTTAGTCACACCACATGGATGGAATATTCCACAGACACCTCAGTCAGGCTATGCTGAGTGCCTGGCCTCTAAGCTGGGGACCTGGGTTGTCTCTCTCCAGGGGGCTTAGGATTCCTTTTGAAACCAAGGGAAGACTCAAACTCGATCTCTGGAAGTTTAATCTCAGGGGATGATAGAGAGTCCATATTATTTCCTGCTCTACCCCCCCCCACCCCCCATGGGCAACAACAGGCAGGACACAGCCCATCGGTCTTGCTTGCTGATTATATTCTGAGAGAGTCCCCTTTTCACTTGGTATCCAGGCAAGCCAACTATGAAGCCAAGCTTCCATTTCTGAAATGGGGAAATCATGTCTAGATACAGGAGAGTACTGAGGAACTTCTAGGCCAGGCATATTTAATGCCATCCTTTTCATACACATAGATCACCCATGACTTACGACAGCCGACTTAAAATCCCTTGACTTTAGTGGCACAAGAGCAACTAATGTTCACCAGAAATTGTCTTTCATTTTGACCTTTGATCTTCTCCCAGGCAGGTGATTTGCTGTATGAGCCTCACTGGTGCAACAGAGCAATGGTAGCTCTCTGTCACCCCCACTAGTCATGGGGGTGAATAGCCAGCACCCTATGGGTGTGTTGTTGCTGAGTTAGTGTCTGGAAGACTAAAGGATATTTTAACTCAGGACATGGTAGAGTGTTTTTTTTTTGGGGGGGGGGGAATACAACTCTAAGGACATCTGTCTAGTATTTGGTTTATGTTTGTCTGTCAGGACAGCTTTTCCTTATAGTTGAAAGGGTTGTTTATGTATCTAATGTGTTCACTCCCCACTCTGAATCTAATCTACCTGAGAGACTTAAATCAACCACCAAGATTTACCTCTTCGCTTACTGCTAATTAAGACAAAACAAAACAAAGAAACCAAACAATAAAATTATCCCCAATAATCTGACAGCAAGCCACACCAGAGTCTGCACCACAGCTGACTGGAAAGGGAAGAAAGGCGTTATGAAAGAAGAGATGGCGTACAGGTTGGCGGGGGTCAAGGACGTGGGAAGAGTGTCAAACCCCAGGATTTTCAGCTGATGCCTGAGGATAGATCTGCTAGTAATATGACCCAGAACTGGACTTAAATCCCACGAGAAACATTCCTCACAACTTCAAAGTAAGAAAACATGGTTCTTATGTCCTGTACTGCTAGAGCCAATGGCTCCCCCATGTGTGTGCAATCAATTCTGCGTTCACACCCACACTACAACGTTATTATTTATCTTACACTTACATTGGGGTATGTCCCAAACACGACTCAAATTCCCCAATGGCTAAGTTTTTCTCTTGAATTTTTACCTGTCTTAAAAAAAAGAAATATACTATACACTAGTGAATATGCGTGTGTGTGTGTGTGTGTGTGTGTGTGTGTGTGTGTGTGTCTGTCATGGCTTGCATGTGCCATGGTGTGTGTGTGGAGGTCAGAGGACAATTTGCAGGGCTCAGTTCTCTCCTTCCATCACGTGTGTCCCTCGGATCAGAGTCGGGCCATCAGGCTTGACAGCAAGTGCCTTCACCATACTGAGCCATCTTGCTGCCTCTATGGTCTCTTTTGTTAACACACACTTTGTGCACTTGCTATGAGCCTGTTCCTAGCATAGTTCTACATGTAGCCTAGGGGCCCCAAAGGTCCTGGAGACAGAGCAATTACTTTTTGGTGTAAAGTGCCACACAGTATTCTTTCAAGATGAGGGTGACTTCCGCTGTGGTGATGGCAGAGCCATGGGTAAGAAGGGACTTGTCTGAATCAGGGGGTTGAGGCCATGTTAGATTCCAGGCGTGGAATGGTGGTAGACTTCGCTAAATTTGACTTCTGCTGTATTAGTTTTCTCTGCATCTTCTGCCAGTCCTCCAGGCATGAGCTCCCACAAACTCCCTACAGCTTCCCAGTGGAAATCCTCCGCCCTGGGACACCCAGGGAGCACACCCTGCACAGAGGCAGTGGTGTGGGATGCTCACAGAGGAGCCGTCAGTTTGACTCCAACAAGAGAAGGCTCTGGACCCAACACCATTGAGACCCCACAGGCTCACAGGCAGCCTCGGGCTCACAGGCAGCCTCGGGCTCACAGGCAGCCTCGGGCTCACAGGCAGCCTCGGGCTCACAGGCAGCCTCGGGCTCACAGGCAGCCACGGGCTCACAGGCAGCCTCGGGCTCACAGGCAGCCACGGGCTCACAGGCAGCCACGGGCTCACAGAGCTGTCACGGGCTGTCATAGGCTCTCACAAGCTCACAGGCTGTCACAGGCTCACAGGCTGTCACAGGCTCACAGGCTGTCACAGGCTGACACAAGCTCACAGGCTGACACAGGCTGTCTGTCACAGGCTCACAGGCTGTCTGTCACAGGCTGTCTGTCACAGGCTCACAGGCTGTCTGTCACAGGCTCACAGGCTGTCACAGGCTGACACAAGCTCACAGGCTGACACAGGCTGTCTGTCACAGGGTCACAGGCTGTCTGTCACAGGCTCACAGGCTGTCTGTCACAGGGTCACAGGCTGTCTGTCACAGGGTCACAGGCTGTCTGTCATAGGCTCACAGGCTGTCACAGGCTCACAGGCTGTCTGTCACAGGCTCACAGGCTGTCACAGGCTCACAGGCTGTCTGTCACAGGGTCACAGGCTGTCTGCCACAGGCTCACAGGCTGTCTGTCACAGGCTCACAGGCTGTCTGTCACAGGCTGACACACAGGCTCACAGGCTGTCTGTCACAGGCTGCCACAGGCTCACAGGCTGACACACAGGCTCACAGGCTTTCTGTCACAGGCTGACACACAGGCTCACAGGCTTTCTGTCACAGGCTGACACACAGGCTCACAGG